AATTGACGATACTTTGACCTTCCACGGAAGACGATTGTCAGCCAATTAAAAGGATCGAATTATGTAAATTACAAACGGAGCGTGCGCGCGATAGATTCGAATGAAAGCGTTCGCGGTAGATTACAGGAGCGGTCTACGAATAAATTATTCTCGAGCTATAGATTGAGACGTGTGGTCGGGATTATGTGAGTTTCGAAATCGTTCGTGGCAGAGGGCGTTAATTAATCATTAAGACGTACGCGAGTAAGTATTCGCGATGCCGACAGTAACTAACGTGATAAATTGGCCAACACGATCAGAGAAAGTAGTAATAATACGTATCTTTCTTGGTCGTGTTTCGTTGGAAACTATCTTACAAATCGTCTGAACGTTTAGTATTCACCAGGTTCCGCGATGGTCGTTCTCGCTGACCATGAAACCGATGTAACAGCTAAGGATCTATGTTGCGCTATTTTCGATGGATAAGCTCGATCGTTTTATGGTTTTAGCGAACGATTATGAGCACAGGTACTGCTTACAGCGAGTTACAGTGGCGTAGTTTTACGGGCTTTACGTTAGTTACAGTACGTAGTTTTGCGTAGTTGAGGGAAAATCACTTATGGTTTACCTGTGAGGTATATAGTTCGATGAGTAGGCTACTCTGTAGCGAATCGTTTTATTTGTTATTTATCTACGAAAGACGATGGACAATAAATTCAACGATAAACATACGTTAAAGTGTTTATAATTTATAGGTATATCCTTTTTTTCTTTAGTTCGATTATCAGTCACGAGAACTTATAGTCGTATTTCAAGTAAAAAAGCGATTACTCGGAAAAAGAAGAAAAAACGTTAACCGGAAAAGAGCGATCGATCCACGAAGCGTCGTAAGAAAAATCCGACGGAAATAATTAACGTATCTCGCTTCGCAATTTCCAAGAGGGATGAAAAAAGCGTTTGATTCTAAAACTCGATAAAAACACGGTCTTAATAATACGGAACTAGTGGAGAGCGTTACGAATGTTAAAATAGCTACGTAAAGAACAGAAAACGTGACTCGTCGCGTTTCACCTGTCGCTACATATTCACGTAGTTAAGAAATCCAACTTTTCATTTAGATTTACATCTGCGTCGAAAGATTTACCCGCGGCAGAACATTTACCACGATAATTCGTTCGCTCTTATCAGCCGTACGGTTCTGAAATAATAATAATGTCTGACTAATGTGGCAAGCGTTCGATTCTCAAGATTAATTGCTTCCTTTAGAAACGTTGGCCGAAGGCTATCCGTTCGACCATCCTGATCGTTCCTTTAGGCTAATTCCAGCTAACGGCCAGAAAATTACGCAGATTGCACTCTGGTCGATGATTCTTCGAAATTTGACGTTCCACTTTGTCAAAGACGGTCCGAAGGCGATCGAAAAAAAGAAAAGAAAAAAGAGAGGAGACGGTCGCAGGAAGAAAGACGTACCGTACGCTCGTCCACCGATTTCTGCTCTACTGAACGCAATCGTTCGACCGTGATAACACGGCACGTATATTACGTGTAATACGCGATACCACGCAGGCCACAATTATTCCGCACATTCGCCGTCATTTCCTGTAGGTCAGTGTGAAATTCATTGCTTTCCATCGACAATGTTTTCCCGAGCGTCTCGCCCCCGTTGCTGCTCGTGCGAGCGCGCACACGCGCACCGACACGCTCTTCCTGCCATTTTCAGCATTTGTCAACGAGCTTGTTGCCGTAATAATATCCGTGACACAGGATACACGGATCCTGCTGATCGCCGGTCACGCGAAATTTCTTTATAACGAGATCCGAACCTTTTTATAGCGCACTCGTGGGAATGAGAAATTTAACGGAGATCGATGCCATAGTTCCGCGAACATCGCGCAATATGAAAATAATAATTACGTTTCGTATTTTTTTCGAATTTTTAAGCGGTTTAGTTGTTCGATGCAATGAATTGATTTACTGGTTGAACATGATCGATGGTTTGCCTCGCGTAGCTAGGAATCGCGGCTACGAAAGTCGCTTTAACGACAGTGTCATTTTCTTTTGTGAATTTAGATTCTGTGCTTTATGTTCGGGGGGAGCATATTCTTCTATTCGTCGCGTAAAATTCACGGACTAATTGCGACGATTTCATAAAACGCTGAAAAAGTGGAAAGTTTTTCTCTTCGTTTTCAAAGGTTACATAGCAGTTCTCGACCCGTTTTGACGACGGCTCGGAATTCGAGATTTCACTTGATAACTGTAGTCCACCGCGTAGCTGTTTTTGTAAACCAGCCGTGACAAAGTGAAAGTTGTTTTTTCCGAGAAAACCGTGAAAAAGCCGGCTCGAGATTTTCCTTCGTAGCCTAGAAATCGCATTACGTTTTTATCGGGCGTGGTAGGAACCCGTGGTGTACGCGGATCGTAGTACGATACCGCGAACGTACGTTGAAAAACCTAAAGGCCTTCGAGCTATTTTTATTGGCATCGTCATGGATTGTTGATGATTATGCGAATTAGACGCTCCGCTCTTGGAACTTTGCCGACTAATTGTTAGGTTTCTTCTGGCTGAATTTTTTTATCCTACTTACGTAGATTCGTGTTTTCTTAAATGTCCAACTTTCTGTAACGTGTAGCGTGACTTCGAAATTATATGCTATTTGTCCATTATCATAATCATATATGTGTGTTTAGATATCTTATCTATAGATTTTAAATCTTCTTTCATTCGCTTATCGCTATACTATCGCAGTCTGTTGCTACGTCACAGGATAACCGTTGAAATTTTTATTTCTAACAGTTATTATTGCATCTAGAAAAATCAACGGTATCGAGGTCATAGAGAGAAACTTCTCGTTCGAGCATCGTAGATATTTTGTATATCCACAGTCTGATTAGCGCGTTGTAACGCGTTTTATTCGCATGTTCGCACGCAGAATAATTTTACGCGTTCGCAACTTTGTTCGCGAAATAGGCAATTAATCTTTCGAAAATCGTTAACTTTCGACGAATCGATCGGTCTTCGCTGTTTCTTCCAATGTCGGCTCGGTTTCTTTTCGTTTCGAGAAATCCTCGTTACTACGAAACACTTTGTTTCTCGTTGAATCTTGTTTTAACGTTTAGGTGGCCGTGGTCCGTAAAACGTTCGTTCGGTCGCTCGTTAACCGTCGTTAGGCCATCGATCATCGTTGATCACACCTGTTGTGCGAATTGTCTACGGTAATTCCTAACACCGTGCTCCTTTCCCCTTTACTATTCACTTTCTTCCAATTCTTGCTTCTTTTTATGGGACAGTAATTACTCGAGTGTCTCGGTCACGGTTACCACGCTGAACAGAAAGGGGAATTCGATCGGCTTTCACCGAATAATTTATTACTTTTGTATTATAGAAAGACACTTCGCGGACAACAGACACTCGTATTTAATCGAACGAAAGCAAGGATCACGGTGTAACGAAGCATGACCTGAGCTATGATAGGTCGTGCGTAGTGACATCAAAAATTGATTAGAACTCGGTAATTAAGGAATCGTATCTGGATGTTAAGTTGTTAATAACTTACGATTTCCACGACCTCGATCTTCCACGTTTTACGCTTCTTTTTCACTCGTCTTTTATTTTCCACTGACTTTCATTCGTAACGTTGTTTTGTTCCTCTTGTGGAATATCCTTACGTTACACGTTGATGTGAATTTATCGCAGCGCGTGGCTTTGGAACTCAGTCGGTCCATTTTGGAAATTAATTCCATAAATTATTTTATCGATCGAATTTACTTATTATTTATGTTAATCCGGTAACATTTTCTTAGACGAGTTGCTGGCTTCCTCGATCTGGCTTTCATCTCGACACAAGCGAAGTCTCTTAACTGTAGATATTGGCTTGGCAACTGAGTGATTGCGATACAATGGCGAAATGGTACAATCCAAGAATTCGTTATTTTTTTTTACTTGCTGTGGTGTCACACGGAGGCGATACAAAAATCGTACCTACGCAATTATCTAGAAGAAAGTATGCAATTAGTTCGATAATTATCTATCTTGGCTGTTATTTCATTCGAAATCGCTCGAATGGCACGCGTTAGACTGGAAAACATTCCGGATGTTATAGAGAGTGGAAAATGCCCTGATTACCGTTATGTCGGGGAAAGCATAAATGCCGGGACATTTTTACGATTTTTCAATCCATTCTTACCGGAGAAAACGAACACGAGAACTTGTTTTTTTTTTTTTTTTTTAATTTTTCTAACTCTACTTCGTATCGTTTCAACGCCGTATAGTATCCATCGAGAGTTTCGACTTGAAACTTACCGTTGCAGATCTCGAAATCTTACAATTCCGCACCTTGAAACTTGAAATTTTCAAACTTTGGATTGCAAATTCGAAATATCGTAAATATAGAGCGACGCTCTCCTCTCTTCTAGACAGAGATTTATGGAAATATAAGTGGAAGGTTCGTGGGCTCGCAAAAGTGAAAGTTCTTAAATCGGATCGCACCGTTCAAAACGGTATCGGCCGGTTGAATCATCCATCGGAGTCGTTTCTACATATTTTTAAGGGCGCAGCGTTGTCTCGAGGAAGAAAGTATCGAAGGAAAGTATCGAAGAAACAGGTCATCGAAGCCATGCGAGCTGCTGCATATTCATGCATGCACATATAAGCTGCTTGACCTTAAATATGTGACTTATCTTCTCTGACATAACGTTGACGATGCCTGGGAACGAGTGACGTACATAATAGAGTAACGTTAGGATCGTCACGCAAAAGGAAGTTATTGTGTGTAATTACCTAAGCTGTATCCGTTGAGAACTCTCTGTTTCTTATGGAAAAAGAAGTATAATAAAACCTTGCTTGGTACTTTAAAATATAACTTTTCGTTCTACAGTTATTCTTAGGTTTTTCAAACTTATGTACTTTTTACATTTCCCTTGCGATACAGGTTCTTTTATCGAGACTATTATTTTTTTTTTTTTACTTTAATTTTTTAACATTTTTTCGATTGTAATTTTTCCAAATATTTCTTATATTTCAGGTGTATTGGAAAAGTGGGAGTCCCTGACAGCTAGAATGGAGGAAACGCAAATGGCCGGTGCGCTTCATCGTGAGTTAATAGCTCTACGTACGGAATTCAAAGCAGCACACGATAGACTCTTCTCGTACGAGATCACTCTGGAGCAACCTCACGTACTGGACGAGCGAATTAATCGAATCACGGTAAGAACTTTGCATTTCTATTGCTGCAACCGTATAATAATATCGGCAGTAACGTTATGGGATATTATACGCGAGGTATTTCTTACTATATTTCTCACGGTGTCACTTTTGCTGTGAGATGCGTAATAACAGTGTTTGAAAGATCTCGATATAAATTATGCTTTTAAATCGCGAGATCCGGTGACGCTGTTCCTCTCGGTTCGTGTCTAATACAGATGTACCAAGCGTCGATAAGATTGCCTTGGTCGGTAATTGAATCTCTTCGTCGGTATCTTACAGATGAATCGTATACCGACCGATATAGTATCTTCTCTGAATAAACGCCGACTATAGATGGCGCAAAATCATTCTTTCCCATAAGTTAAGTTAAATATCGAGAATCACGACTTTTCCGCTATATCGTTGAAATAAAATTACACACCGACGATAAGAATATTCCGTAATCCTCTCCCGCTTCGATATAGTCAAAAACTAACCAGAGATACAAGCAAAAGACGTTGTTCGGTTCCTAAAGCAATTTTTCGACAACGTTCGAATAAATATGCCATCTTTCGAACAGTACCAAGCGTTTTCTTCGAAGTTCTTCTAAGTCTCTTAAATCGGATCTCGTTGATTCTCGTTTTAACGCGCGACATTCGATTTGGGAAAGTATTCGCGAGCGTTCGCCAGAGCGGAACAAGCTCGGGCATTATTAAAAACATCCTCGAGAAGTTGGAGAGAGCCGTGACGGGGAGGGGCTCGAGATGAAAGTAGGCGAAATAGAAGTAAGAAAAAGAGGAAAAGGGGGATGGTGTAGGGCACGGTGGAGCGTGGAACAACCGGGGATGGCGGTCGCGGAGGAAGAGGAGTATAAAGAGAGGGAGAGACCAGTCAGGAGGCAAGGATAGAGGCAGAGAGTAGCGTAAAAGCGTAGTCGTGTCGCACGTACGCTCGTCTGACGGCGACGTGCCCGGCATCGCAACTCGCCAGAGCGAACGCCGACGAACCTGGCCAACCCTCTGAGTTCCACCCCCCGAGAGTCATCCCCAGCCTGCCTCTACCCTCCGTGAACCCCTCTCTGGAAACCTCTGGAACACCCTGGTCTCCACCTCCTCCTTCCTGTTTCTCTCTTCGTCTCGCTTACTTTCCACGATTCTCCGCTACACCAGGGGCTCTTCTTCTCATTTTCGCCTCAACTTTCTTCGATCCTCCCCCGGTCTTACGCTTTTTCCCGTCTTTTTCTTCTTCACCCCTTTTTCTCCTCTCCCTTTCTCGCTCGCAAACCGTCCTGCTCTCTCTTCGTAGCCTGCTGCACGCCCCTCGTCCCCCTGTTCCTCGTAATATCCCTAACATCCCTACCAACCTCATTGCGAAGACCAAACACATGCTCCCTATCTATCATCAAGATGTATTAGCGTCCAACATTTGCCGGGTGAACTCGTCGCTGTGCTGCATTATGCAGCAGGCGCGAGGCTGTCTAGCCGCCGACATTCACCTCGCCTCCCCTCCTCTCCTCACGTGCTTCTTGTTTTACATGTTTTCGCGTGCCACGTTCCACGTAACCGGTCCTCATCCAACGGTTCGATCGACCAGCTACGACGAAACGCTGGGTCCAAGTTCGAGAGCCTGCTTCGTCCCACGTGCTAGAACGTGGCAGACCGAGCTGACGGACGATGTACGACAGGGCCGAGCGTGTGCACGAGGTTTCGCACGCGACGAAGCCTGTCGATGGTTTAGGGCTAGCGAGAGAGGGTTGACGCGCCGTTGAGGTAAGCCGTGCACTGGGGTTCGAGAAGCACGCGCTTCGAGGATTAGCTCGCCGTGGAAAGCGGGGCTTCGCGTTACATACTGGTTTTGCGGGCGAGAGTACTTTTTTTTTTGGCTGGATTTTGAGCGGAGTTAAAACGGCGTGAGAAGGTTTTAAAGGTTTTATATCGGTTGATTCTCGTTTGGAAATGTTTTCCATAGCAACTCGTAGACTAGCTTTCTCGTCTCTTTGGTAAATTTCTTGCTCGTGAAAATATGAATTTGCGTAAACGCGCTGCTCGGTGCACCTATACGGTGTAAGCAACATTCTCAGCGCGAAACGTCGCGCGATACACGGACTGAAAAATAAAAAGGGGGCGGGGAAGGAAACGTTGGAAGCATCGACACGTTCGCCAGACAGATTCTCGTTGAGACGGGAATCGAATCGACGTTAACCAGTCGAGGAATCGATTAGCCGCGTTGGTTCGCGGATACGACTCTCCGAGCCGAGCAGAATATTTCGCATGCACGACGTACGACGAAAAGCGCGATGGAATGAGCGAGTGTGCAGCGGCGGCGTGGCGCGCGAATCCGAATGGAATGTTCCTCGTGTATTACGCATTCGTAAACAGGCTTGAATCGAGCCTGTGTGCCACGCTATTGCGGATCGTACGCGACACGCCGGACCGCTGATTAACGTTATTGCGTAATTCCACGACGGCTCGCGTCTCGTGTCTCGATATTCCGCTCATTAGCGATCGTTCGCACTTTCCACTGCGTGATCCGCCTGTGGACGATCTCGTCTACCCCGTGAGAAAAGTCTCGACTCTTACAAATCGTCTGGCATTTTTAACGCGGACAGACGGAGTTCTTGGTACGATAGTTCAGTGTGTCTCGGTCGAGAGTCGCTATTTCTCTTCCCTGTTCCTTTGCAATTTCACGATTAAATCGTATCTTCGTAGAGACAGATAAGGAGACGTTCGTTCCAAGCTTAGAACGAGTGCTCCATATCGTGAATATTTTTCGTTACATTCGCGCGTCGTGTGCGTTCCACGCGTTTTCTCCTTTCGCGTATGTATCGACGTTCGTAGGCCAGTTACGACGAAACAAACGATCGAGCAATCGTTCCAGGCGCAGGTTTGGGGGATTTTGTAGGATTTTGGTGGATCTGTCATTTGAAATCTAAATTTTCAGTTACTCAGTTTGTATCGGGATGGATATATTCCGAGAAATCGAGAAAAATTGGAGTTGATCGGTTTGGCTTGCGAGAGGCTCGCTCTTCCTTGACCTAACCCATCGTCGTCCCACCACATCGCGCGAGAAAATCAATTCGATTCGATGAAGTGTCTATAAAAGCCACGCCCCAGACATACTAAAAACTTCGACAACGACTTGGTTCGATCGTTCGCAATCTTCGGTTGGAATTCCGCGCGCGTGCACGGGTAACGAACTTTCAAGCAGCTTAAGATCGTAAACGAGCAACGTATACAGATTCGACGAGTCCGTGAGGACCGCGAGGTTAATCGCGAAAGGCTTTCACGGCGTGGAAGCTCGTTAGCCAGCCGCAAAGTCGATACGAGCTATTTCGAGTGGCTTTTGCCGTGCCTTTATTCGGTTCGATCGCGTTCGAACGCCGCGCGCTGCTTTTTCTTGCGTCGCGTCGACCGGTGGCGGCCTCCTTTTTTTAAAAATCCCGCCTTCTCTCGTGACACGCTGCAATTAAAATACTGTAGCGGCGGCGGGAAAAAGCAGCGGTCACCGATGGAACCGGGTTCGTCGACGAGCATTCGAGCACGTCGCTTCGTACGTTTAACGTCGCTACTTGCGACCAATAGCGTTGCTTAGCGAGTCCTATCTCGTATCTCGAGACCGTAGAAAATTCGAGTTTTATCCAATTGTCTATTTACGCGTCTCCTTAATCGTTCGTTGCTTCCAGATATCATATCGCGATGGAAGGTGTATTCGATTTTTCTATAAACATAACGTACAATAATCTACGTATTTCTCGCTTTTAACGCGAGAACCGATCTGGTCGCAGCGTCGAGAGGATTGACTCGCATCCTCGATCAGCTCCGAAGTACACAATATCGAACGGCACGAATTTCATTAACTCGATACGCATGAAACGTGATTTCTCGCCATCCTGATTATAGCATTCTCTAAAACTCTTTCTCAATCCCCTTCTTCAATCCGAAGTACCAAGAGTCCTCTGAATCCCCTCTTTCTTCTGTCGCTACTCCTGGATCATCGGTATCGCGGTCAGAGTGCGCCGTTACGAGGCCAGGTAAAAAGCTAATTGCCCGGTTGGACGGGGCACGCGTGGCTTTAAACAGAGACGACACCTCGTGCCAAAGAACGCGAGACAGAGAAAGACAGGGGAGCGAGAACGAGACAGAGAAATCTGGTAGCCTCATAGGCATGCAGAGGCCGCAACGGCAGCCAGTCGACCGCTCTGTATACCAAATTCGAATCAATTGATTGGCTGTTGATTGGAAATTGAATTAGATCGGAATGTGCGTGTCTGCGTGTTGGCGACGGTGGAAAGGGACGTTGGCTGGAGGGAAAGCTTGTAACGAGGGATCGGAGAGGGTTGTCGGAGGCTGGACCTGGGCCCCAGAGGGAAACAGGCGAATGCGGTGGGTGGTTACCGCGCGGAGGGGAACGGCCGCGAAGCTGCTGCTTCTGCGTTCGCGATGTGCTCGGAATATCAATGCCAGCCACTTTTCGTCGCGACCGCTGTCGGACAGCGTGCTACCGCGCCTCTTCTTTCTCCTTTCTTCTCCTATGCCTCTTTTCCTCTGTCTGGCGGGTTTCTGCGGAAAGGCAGCACGGACTCACGCACGCCAAGCGTGAACCGCCGCTTTTCACGCGTCTGACCTCTTCGATAGCGTGCCTGGAATCGCTGCTACGTAGACGACGTTTGGTCGTGCACGGATTTGCATCGATTAGCCGCGCAGCTCTCGAGAATATCGATTCGTTCCTCCGCATCTTTTTTAAAAGAATGCAGATAAAAGGTGCCATACATGCAATATGTATTAGACTATAAAGTCGGAAGTTTATAAGCACGAAACGAATAGCAACAATAAACGACGTTGACCGTAACAAATCGAACGCGTGATACGAAGCTAATCTCCACGTCAGAGGCTATCGATGACACCATGTCGTTCTACTGTCCTTACACGTTGCAGTTGAGCAAGGGGATCCTTTGATCGATGGACGGCGATGGAGAATCTTGAACGAAACCAAAGTTCCAGCCATACGTCCGTATCTACCGCCCCATTTGTCGCTCGCACCGCTGTGTATTTTACTGAAAATATACTTTTGGTATAAAAGAATCAAATGGTCGAAAGTAAATGGACGGTAGATGTCCTAATGCGTGTAGCCGGCAGTGCAAGTAGATCCAGACGTCCACACGCAGACCGCGCGTCTTTACGTATACCTATGTATCTATTTGTGTCTGACGGATACTGTTCCTATCTGCTTTATTCTATTCCCGCGAAACGAACATTTTTCCAGGCTTGAAACTTAGGCTATAGTCACAGTGGACTTAACGAGCTCAGACTTGATTCCTTCGACGCATTGAATTTACCAAAACGATAATTCTCCGCAACGCGAGTCCATCGCGGCGATAGCGTTACCCAGAAGCAATTTCTAAAAATCAGCTTTGAGAATCAATTTCTCTCTCTCCCCTCGTCCAAGTGGCAAACTTTCAATTTCCGCGAGGCAACCCGAAAGAAGCAGAGGAGTCGAAGCTCTCTGATTCCAGGGAATTCCGAAGGAGATCAGCGTACGATACGAATGCAAGTAGGAAACAGTAGTAAACTCCGTCGTTTCGAGGACAGAAATTACTCGATGGTACACGAAGGTGGAAAGGAAACGCGGAGAAGGAGACGCGAGACGCTGGATGACCGCAAGAAGAGCAGGTTTTACGAGCGTCTCTGCCGAACTCTGCCGCTCGTCACGCGAGAGAAATGACACGCTGTGGGTTGGCAAAGAGAGCGAGCGAGAGACAGAGAGAGAGAGAGAGAGAGAGAGGGTGGGTGGACGAAGCGGAGAAAGCTGGAGGGGCTCTCGTTTTCGTTCTGTTACGGGCTGCGTCGCCGTCGTAAAGCTGGGTTTATTTATGCGGCCCTCGTCGGTCGCCTCCTGCAGTAGGACGACGGAGACGTGACAACGTGACGTGGTTACTCCATCGTGTCTACCTTGCGCTCTTACAACCCTTATAGTTCGGTTATGTTCTTCCTGATAAACGTATCTTTGCTTATTTCGCTCTTAATGTCCGATCTCGCGTCCTCGGTATCGAACGAATAACCTTCGCGAAGTAGAGTTCCGGACGAGTTACGTACACGAAGCTGGACTTAGTTTATTTGGCTGACATCCCTTTTAAAGTTTAAGGGAGAAAGAGAGAAAAATATAAATATTTGAGTAAATGTAAAATTACGAATATATGTAATATATCGCACGTAGCGATGCTCACGTGTATCGTAATAGAAATACTTGCAATGATTCTCTATGGGAATGAGAATGGACCCTTTGTTCTCGCTGCGAGATGTACAGTTAGCTTTCTTTGGTCTGCTACTGTGACCAGTTTATACATCACTCGCAACCCCAAAGCCAACCCCTACGTCGTAATCGCGAAGAACGGAGCAATTCGTTCGAGTTAGTGGAAGAAGGCAACCACTAAAAATGTATATTTAATGTTGCAGGCTGAACTGACTGCATTGAGGGAACGTAAGGCGGCGATGCTGGCGTTGAACGTCCAGAGTCACAGACTGATCACCGATGTTGGTAATTCTAGCTCGTTGATCTTCACGGCGCTGAAGGATGGCGTGGCCGATTTGTATCGCGTTTGGGATGAAATCTTTCAAAAGTGAGTATCGGATAATAGTTATTTATTCGAGCGAGAGTTACGCACGAACGTTAGCGGGGAAAATCATTGAACGGGTTTCAAAAATTAGAGAAACTTGCGAAAAAATTGGGAATAATCGAAAAGTAATCTCAGGGAAGCGTGAAAGTTAGAGTCTGAAGAATTCGATGGATAGTTTCTCTGCTATTCATTTTCGTATCGTAAAAGAAGAATCCTCCGACAAGACGAACTAGGTGGTGGCATGAAACGGCCGATTAGGCGTTTAACGACATTTACAATTGCTCGACGTCTTCCTGCTTGTCGAGGAGACTCGCTTTTCCCTCGGAGAGGGTACGAGGTTATCGAGTTTCGAAGCGTGTGGAATAGCTGGTTTAGGATCATTGACTGACCGTTCGCTGGCCGGCGTGTGACGTTGGGCAAATATTATGAGAGGCAATGAAGCCTCGAAAGCAAACACAGCGGGAACCATAGACACCATAGGTACCGGCAACGAGGGCTCGAATCTTTGGGATTTTGACCCGTGTCAAAGGATTACTAGTTTTAGCTGGGATCGTCAGTTTAATCTTCGACGTTTCTAAACCGTCGTTCCTAAACCATCCGTTTAAAGTCTTCTATAATATACTATTACGAACAATTTTAGGAAAATAGACGCGTTTAACGCCAACAACTTTACAGTTGTCTCGGCGATTTTTAACGTTTCGGATATATAAAGCTGTAGAATTTAAAAATGCGTTGAAGCTTGGTGGGAAAAATATTTTAACTTGCTTATTTATCTCGTAAAATATATTACGATATATGTACTATCTCTTTTCTCTAGAAATTTGTTGCCGCGGTTTAAACGTTTTTCTTTTTCGCGTTGTTAAAATTTATCGCAGAATCATACATGTAACTATCGTGAAATTCCTGTACGAGCAAATATTAGATTAGACGAAAATGATGGTACGGCTGTAAACGTAGGGGCGTTTCTCGGGCAGGTCAAGCAAATCACGGACCTTGAAATTGATACGTGTTCCAAGCGAAAGGCACGTCGCGGCCGCTCAACTCGCGTTTTAATTGCCGTATGAGCACTTGATTCCCCCGTCTGATAGGGGTCTGACCCATGCAAAAGGGTTTACCAGTGACCCACTGGGCTTTTACAGAGGTCAATTCTATCCCTCGCAAGCTCCCCAGGAATTTCTATTCTTTGCACGAGCGCACGCCACTCTCTGCAACGTACAAAACGACCAGTGCTACTCGACGCTTCATTTTTCGAACATAGCCGTGCCATCTTTCACGTTGTATCAGTCGTCGTTTTTCAACATTTTGAATATTCTGCAACAAATTCTGCAAACGAAGCACCGAAACTCTTGCAAATACGTATGCAGTTTAAAACAAGTTCAATATTATAAAATTCGAAACGTTGGAAAAATGTTGAGGCGTCTTTTCGTTTTGCGACGCGCTAAAAATCTAGTAAAATCGATATTTTGTTGGGATCCTGTAGAGCTGAGTGTATTACTCTATAGGTAGGTCGAGTAATTTCGCCAAACGCAAGTTAAAATCGTAAGTTATCGCAGACTGATCGAATACTTACGAATTTCGGTCTCGTTTCTATTCAGTGCGGCTATCCTTCCGAGAAGTGGAAGGAATTTTTTCAATCACACGCCAATGCGGGAAGCAGACGAAAAACCAGTCTTCCTGGTTTCATTCGTGCGAGCCTAGGGCGCTAGGATTGACCTAAAGTGTTTCTATTTGCCGATACCGCCATCGGGGAGATCCGCTAATAATTTGACGTCTTACTGTTTGCCAAGAGGCTTTGCCCTCGTTCCACTTTTTATTGTGTTGACCCGACTCGCGATTTTTCCATTCAATTTCGTAGCTCGCTTTCACCGATTCCGAGAACCTGGAACAGCCGTCTGTTTATCGAACGTCGCGGATCGATCGCATCCAGAAAAGGAACACGTCCGGGAATAGATTCGGATTTTCAGTTAGTCCGGTAGATCTAGGAGAACTGAAAGATATTTACAATTCTTTCATGCTTAGAAAGCGATTGGAACGAAAAAATGAACGCTCTCTTCTCTCGCGATACTTTTCCGTGGAATATTTGTTTACGCGTTTATTAATATTTGCGAGTTATATTTCGTGAAATATTAGTTTGGTAAATTAGCACGCATTGATTACCTTAATTCGAACCAATTGTCTCTGTGTCTCTCCCCTTACTTTTGCCTCACCTCTGCCGCTCCTTCCCTTCCCCAGTGACTCCGTTAATTTCGTCGGATATGGTTCATTAAGCTGCATAGTATTAGCTTTAAATGTCTAATGAAACGCAACAGCTCGAAACTCGATGCGATATTCGCCATATAAATCCTTCAAATTCAACTATAAATCTTAGAAATATTCAAGCAAACCTCAAACGATCAGCGCACCGTTCCTTTTACAATTTCCCTCTTCGAATTTCGCCAGATTCCCGTTACGTTCGTCCCCGTTAGAAATCGCAGATGCATTGCGTTAGCAATTAAATGATCGTGGATTTTATCATTAGGTGGTATTGACAAAATCCGCGATCACTTAGTTGCCAACCCAATATAAGAATTCAGAGTCCGGAGCCCAAGTAGGTTGCTTTATCAAATCTATTACCTCCAATATGCCCATCGATGATAATCTTCTCTAAACGGTATTTTGCAGGGGTAATCAACAATTGTGCGCCCTGCAAGCCGTCCAGCAGTTCAGCATACGTTTGACGGAGCTTCAGTGCGTGTTACGGAGGGATAAGGATACCCTGGCAGTTTTGGACGTGGCCCTACAAGCGGGAGCTACTTCAGAGGTTGCTTCGTCTGTTCGTCACGTCGCCAGATTGCTGTCCGAGAAGCAAGACATGAATTGTCAGGTAAGATCAGATATTACACGTATCCTTGATTTTTACGAATACGGAGAATCGTTTTACGTTCTCAAGAAAGTGAATGCCCATTTTTAAAATACCATTCGTATCGTTCGATGAAGCGTTGTGAAGGTTAGCGAAACGAGCGAGGCTAGTAATGGTGGAAAATGGTTGGACAATAAAGTTTTTCAGTGCCGCGTGAAGAGTGTCGGAAGTGATTTCGCTAAAACGGGGAATGCCCGTATATCGTAACGTTTTTATTTCACGAACATCTGGGTCTATGCTACGTCCTACGCTAACGCGTTCTTGTTAGAAGTTCCACGCGCTTTATATCATTTCTTTATGTTCTACGCGTGAATAATAATCTAAGATAGATTTTTAAAAGATAACGTTCACGCAAATTTTGCTGCTACGATAGAAAAACTGGGAAACGTTACACGCAAAGAACGCGATAAGGCGCGTTCATCCGCAACGCGTGTGTCGACGAAAGTTATCCTCCATTCGACTGGAAAATCGTGTCTTATTGTACGATACATCGATGCGCGATCGGATCGAATATCGTTCGGATTCTATTGCCGTACGTACGTGTACGCCTGTACGTGTGACGATTAGAGGCATTGAAACGGCTAAAGAAGAGAAGAAAAGGCGGACGATACTAAGTGCGCGTCGACCGATTTGCAGCGACCGATCCGCGCTTGGATATAATGGCCATCTGCCAGTCCAGCCTCGATCCTTTATCCTTTTCCTATTTCTATCGTGTCTCTTCTTCTTTGTTTCGCTGCTTATGACGGCTATTACTCTTTCGACCTCTCTCTGCCTCTCCTCCCATTCGAAGAAAATTTATGGACGAGAATTGCCTAGGCTTCAAGAAATTGAAGAATTTAAAACGCTTGGAGGATTCGTTAGCGACAGAGAAACACGATTGAATCGAAAGTGACCACAAGAACGCCGAATTGTCTTAAGTATTGTTCCAATTCTCTTTTCTGTTTTTAATGTTTGACTGTGGGTATTGCGATTGCCATTTATCGACGATTGCGGAAACAACGAAATCATTGATAAATCGTTTGGACGATATTTCCACGGTATCCTTGATTTTCAATCGGTTGGATAGCTGGTAGCAATTATTCAACGTCGTTGGACGGGGTAACGGTTCCCGTGGGTATCACTTGTGTGCATAAAACCATTTCCCCGCGTAGATTGCCTGAGCGGAAGAACTTTGGGGATATGGCTCTCCTAAGGAAGGCGAGATTATAAGGCGAATCATGTTTATTGGTTCGTCTTCTGCTCCGCAAAAAGAAGAAACCTTTTCCTCGACTCTCTGTTTTTCGTCCAAGTAAAAACTCACGATGAAGGGTCTTCTCTCAAAGGGATCGAAAAACTACCCGTTTCAGGCTGCGAATATTTTTTGTATGCGTCACATTTTTTTTCCATCGTGAATTCTATTTTCTTCGTTTATTTTATGGTCAAAGAATGATGCGATTAACTGGCTAAACATTATCTTTCGATTACGAGTTCCAATTACTCGAATCTCTACATTTTCCGTTCGACCGAGTAATTAGCAGCAGAAACGAGGAAACAGAACGAGAATCGAACGTTAGGCGCCGCACAGTAAGTCGAGCAATCGTGCGAAACCAGTTATTCTAATCGCGTAGCGGCGAGGGAAAAAAATGAGGAACGTCGACGTGGAAATATCGCGTGGCGGGCGGCACGTTTCTCTGACAAGCGGAACACGGGGCCAGGCCAATCGGAAACCGTGATAACAAACCTGCCACCTGCTTCACCTCGAGCTACTTTTCTCCTTAAGTCCATAAAAGCATGGAGGCAAACGCGAGGCCAAGACCTTGCCAAGAGATTTACTCTATATGCAAATGTAAGACGGATATGGTGGAAATAGGGGGATGCGATGGCGTTTAACCGAAACACGATATCGACAAGTGTCATCTGTCAAACGTACCCTTCTAATCTCACCCCCGTCTTTTCCCTTCTCGCGCCACCTTTCGAAAACTACCACTATTTATAGACCGTATCCCACTTCTTCTTCGACAATTTGGGTTTATTAACCAAGTCGTTGTGAACTTGTTTTCGACATTCAAATCTACTACGATGGCAAATGAGACGGCAAATATACTGTGTTCGATACAGTGCGGCAATTAGATTTTGGTTCTGTCCCTGCACTTTAAGATCTCCATCAATTTTTCACCCTTCTCTTCAACAAATTGGAACGACGATTATTTATCATCCGATAAATTCCAAACCATCCGATTGGCATTTTTCCATCTTTACGCTACTAAATCTTGAAGAAAAAGAAACAAAACAGCAACCACCCTCTTAAAAAAAAAAATGAAAAATAAAAGTACACTACAACAGCCACTGCGAGAAAAAAGCAAGGCGAAACGAGCTGTTACCTTTTCAACTTGCAATTGTCCCCGCGCTTATTTCGCCTGTCCGGAAGACGTATGGCTCGCGACGCGATATTTTTACCCCAAGAAAAGCAAGAAGGAGTCTCGTTCCAGGCAGCAACCCCCAAGTTTCTCTGTAGCAAACGTTTTAACGGTACTCTTGCAGTCGTTGTTCCGCCAATGAACTCCGTTTCCGGGCGAATATTCAAAGTCGCGTCAAGACGGAGCAATCCGCTCGGCTTCGTCGATCTACGACACTCGTGGGGATAATTTCATGCACGCGACGTTACATATTTCTTTTCTCCTTTTTTTCGATACGATACTTTGCCCGAACCAGGCAGACGCGTTTCACCGCTCGACAAAGTGCTTCGCGTTAAGAGTTCCATCTTCTTCGAATCTTAGCAGAAGAAGAAGAAGCTGGCCGTGGACGCGAGGATGGGACGAGAGAACGGATAATGGAAGAAGGAATTCCGATCGAAGCGATAAAACCAACGGAGGCTGTTGGAGATATGGAACGGTAATAGTTCCACCGCGACTACCGATTTTACTTGTGTTTATCTCGGAGGGTAAATGGCGTGCAACAATTAATCGTACGTTTTATAGTTGTTTCTTGTTTCTAGATTTTCCTTGGTCTTCTTCGCTTTTATAATTTTTCGAACATGTTCCACGTGTACCAAGAATCTTTCTTTTCTTACACGTAGAATTTCTCTGATTTTCAGTTACGTTTCGATTAATTCTTTGTGAAATCGCTGGGAAATCGAAGAATATGAAATTGAAAGAAGATAATCGAGAAATTGATGAAACGAGAAATTGACATAAGAAAGTCAGATTGAAAAACGTAAAGAATATACTTTTGCTTTGTAATTCGTTTCCATTTGATTTTATATAAAAAGTTAATCTTCCTCCGGAGACAAGACCTTATTGTTTCGCATTTTTAACCGCAAACCAGACTAAACGTTGCTTCTACGCGTTAAATTCTAGAGTAACTGTTGGCTGAGCGAGAAAAATCCATAAATTTTGATAGGCGTTAAATAAAATATTAGTGAATAGGAAAAACGGTGGCAGGAGACGGGTACGAGGACGAGTTTTAGGTTCGCATAGGAGAATCGCCATTGGGAAACGTTGGAGTTGGCTACCTCAGAACCAGCGACTCCCTAGGGAGCTGGGATCGTTAATCGTCCGAACGATTCCCTTTCGACTCACGTACGAGAATGGCCCGTGGAATCAGCGTAAAAATACAAATTTAATATCGCTGCCGGAACGGTCGACTGACCAGTTGTAGCCGCCGGATATACCGGTGTCGACGAGCACCACTTTCTACGTGGGTTAGAGATTAAGAGGCTGAGCTGCTTGATTAGCACTTCCGGCCGAGCAGCTCGTTCGACATAGACATTTCAACCTATTGTTTCCTTAGCCGCTTTTTGGAAATTATATTTTCCTTCTTTCTTTTTTATTGCCTTTCGATCGGATCTTCCGGCATGTCTAACGTGTTATTTTGAAAACGTGGTCTTGTGTTTCATCGTTATTCACGCATCTTCTGCGACTAAATAAACTTAAGGAAGTCATTTGTCGTGGAAGATCGAATATTGGCCGTGTACACAGGTAATCAATCGGTTTGGCTTTTGATTAAAGGAGATTAAAAATTGTATTCAAAAACAAATTACCAGTGTGTTAACGTTAAAGTCTGTCGTAAAACTCGGAGCGTCTAAAAAGGCAACGGAGAGCATTGAAAGAGAAGTTGCCTTGAGAAACCGAGGGTAACCGCAAATTTATGTAACGCGATATCTCGAATTAACAGGAGACAGGAAAAATTGCCGGACTCGTTGCCTCGGCCAATTATCTCCGTAATACCCAGTTTTACTTTTCACGTGCAATAACTCAGACTCGCTTTTAACCGCGTGAACCTTCCACGTAGGTTCAGCTGTAACGTTGCCTCGTCCAGGACATCGATGCTTCGACAACGATTTTATCGTTCATCTATCTGCCTGCCCTTTTAGACCGTTACATTAGTTTCATTCTCGTCGCCAAGTCCTAATTATACTCGCCGATCGAATTAGATGGGTCTAATTATAAGATCCGATGGAAACAGTTCGTAAGCTTCAACCGATCGCTCGTTACATCGTTGCGATTCGAGCTTGAATATTATTTTTCGCGATCGAAGATAATTTATCGATGTTTGTAAGGAAATTCGAAACTGTATCGATGTTTTAAATACTCTAATTCGGAAATATTTTATTCTTTTTTCTTTTTTTCATTTTTTTTCTGGTATTCATCGACAAACTCACGAAGGATCAAGGGAATTGGTGAGATCGCGAGCGTTCTATTCGTATTTGCGACAGAATCCGAAAACGTTAAGAAGATATCCACGGGAGAAGAATTGACGAGCTTTCATTTTCGCTTCAAATTGAACTGGAAGACGGTCACATTCGCGACTAAACTTCAAAGAACACGAACTCCATCTTGCAAAGAACTCAGAAGCCATAGAGAAGTCCTTCGAAAGGACTCCACTGATCTTCGCTCACCATCTATTTCCAAACTCGGAAAAAGCTCCATCGACATTCGCAAACGAAGTCGACTCGTTTCGTCGATACGATAGCTCGTACTCCAAAAACGTTCGATCTAAACCCTCTATTCGCTACGATGACACGCGATATATTATTCCAAGGTTAGTCTTTCCAACATCAAAGAAAGAAAATAAAAAAGAGAAAGAAAGGGTGAGAGAGAGAGAGAGAGAGTATTGCTGTTACCAGGGCGCCTTACTAGACCGGAAATAAGGAATTCTCGCAGTTTTCTTCTACGTGATTGGTCCTTCGGGCAACGTGGATTCTGACTCGAGACTCACTTCGTACCTACTATCCGTTATACAAGAGTATACCGACTTATATATAGGTTAGGTTGAAGGTTGCTACTTGGTATGCGGATCGCGCTTTTCATTACCGGAGGCTCTCCCACCCCTCCCCCTCTGCCCCGTTGCTGCAACAGCCTAAACCAACCCTCTCTTTCTTCCAACCCTCTTCTCTCCCGCGTTCGCCTTTTCCACCCCTTCCTCTCCACCCTTTTCGCTCTCGTCTCTTCGTCCTTGTCTCGCGATCCTCCGCACTCTCATATTCTTTTTTGTATTATTATTATTACTACTACTACTACTACTACTACTACTACTACTACTACTACTACTACTACTACTACTACTACTACTACTACTACTACTACTACTACTACTACTACTACTACTACTACTACTACTACTACTACTACTACTACTACTACTACTACTACTACTACTACTACTACTACTACTACTACTACTACTACTACTACTACTACTACTACTACTACTACTACTACTACTACTACTACTACTACTACTACTACTACTACTACTACTACTACTACTACTACTACTACTACTACTACTACTACTACTACTACTACTACTACTACTACTACTACTACTACTACTACTACTACTACTACTACTACTACTACTACTACTACTACTACTACTACTACTACTACTACTACTACTACTACTACTACTACTACTACTACTACTACTACTACTACTACTACTACTACTACTACTACTACTACTACTACTACTACTACTACTACTACTACTACTACTACTACTACTACTACTACTACTACTACTACTACTACTACTACTACTACTACTACTACTACTACTACTACTACTACTATTACTGTTTGATATTAAGGTTTCGTGACTGGTTATATTTTCTTTCTATTTTCTATCTTTGGTATTTTATTTTTGGTTTGCTTCGTGGCAGAGTTTTTTCCGGAGATGATACGTTTGTATCGAAATAGGGACGGACATGTGATGGTGACACGTCGAGACTAGCAGGGTTGTCAGTGGTGTTCTTTGAAAGACGTTACAGATGCCGAGCGAGGCGAAGAGAGAATTGAAAACTAGGTTCGTCTCGATCTACAGGCGAGTTTCCTTTAGACATCTTTTTCGATAGCTGGTGCGATAATTTGAGAATTTTCTATGACTATTGCTAATAGTTGCCAAATTCGTTCTTTCTAAGAAGAAAATTGATCTACTTCGATTTATAGGTAGGTCCTCGTCGATCTATCAGTCTTAGCGTTAAGAAAATAATTCGAACGAACGGTTGCAAACCGTGTCCCTCCTAAGATTTATCGATCCTAGGTCAGAAACACGTATAACAACCCCAATAAATTCTTCACTTCGACCCCTATATATCAGGAATACCGTCATAACCTGTCATTTCTCGTATTGACAAGAATATCTAGCGTTCCTTTTATAGTTGCGATTGTGTCGAATACATGACGTTCCATTTTTCTAAACATCTAAAAATTTTGGGAACAGACGCTCCAGATGACACTATACGCCCCTGCGGATTCCGTTTGCTTCCTTTCTTTCGTTCACCCCATCTTTGTATCCCCTTCTTCCTTCATATAATCGTCTTATATGCCTTCCGATTAGCCGCTGGCAATAACCAACACTGGATTATGCAATATTCGATATCGTATTCTCTCGGGGTGTATTTATACCTATCAGCATCCCGTGATCTAATCAGTGGCAAGATTTAAGTGCTACATCCTTTCGTGATTTTCCCTGTAATCGATCGACGGAGATTTCGAAGTGTCGCGTTTCATCGTAAACATCGTGCTATTCCGAGCTATCACTCGAAAGCTTCAACGATCGTTTGATCGTAACAATTTACATGCTTCAGCTCGTATACAGCTTCTCATTTGTTCCTGTTCTCTCTGTAACTCAAACCTTCGATGCACGCGTTATTTCCTGAAAAGACTGTGATATAACCCTGTTATATAATCCTAAACGAAAAGCAACGAAACCTGCAAAACCATCAGTTATCCACCTCTCGAAAGAATCCAACAAGAGCAGCAAGCAAAGACAAAGACAAGCTTCTGTCGTTGGAATGAAAGTCGAATACTCGACTGGTTCGTGTTGCAGAACGGGACGGTGCTAAAAGACTCGACCACGGAGGAAGTGGGCAGTGGGGTGTTAGCGAAATTCGGTGACTCGCCACCGATCAGTCTGACGCAGGAAGGTGGCTCGTTGTCCGACAGTGGCATCTCTGACAGCGGCAGCGAGCAAGAGTTGAGCGAACGGGAGCGAAGATTGGCCGCCCTTCGTCGTCTGACCCGCAGTTTGGAGAGTCAACTGGCGCCTGGAAGCGAGGCCCTCGTCGAACTCCTGCAACGTGTCGAGGACGCGGAAACGGAGCTACGAGATCTTCAGAAACAGTGTCGCGAATTAATCGTACGCACTGCTGCCAGTGTCGAGGCGCGAGCTGCGAAGAGGACGAACGGTCAAGTCCATCATTTTATAGAGTGAGTACCGTTTTTTTTTTTCATTTTCGTATAATTTTGTCGTATATTTTGCGATATATCTTGTACTACGTTTTACGAAGCAGACTTTGGCTTTCGGGCTATGTTTCGTTTTTATCTGGTTTCTTTTTATTTTATAATCGAGCGATATCGAGTGACGTTGCTCCAATTAAATGGAACTGTTAGAAAGTTTTTGATAAAATTGCAATTATTAATAATCGATATCTGTCACGAAACCTTTCGTAGCCTGTTTTCGAAATTCGATGTAACGAAATTTCTCCATTCATCTTTGAACAAATTCTCTCTATTCACGCGCGCTTGTATCTTCACGCTTTGTCTCTTATCTATTCTTATCTTCTTTAATTACGTTAATACAGTTGCAAGGAAGTTGATTAGAAAATTTTCTTGCAAGATGAGTCTTAATGTACTAAAACGAAAGTTCCGTCGAGGTAAATGCACGGACGCGTGTATTCTTTTCTTTTCTTTTTTTTTTTAATTTATTCAGGCGTTTCAACACCTTCGAGGGGATAAAGAACGACTTCCTCGGCGCACATTCCATTTACATAACGTCAAAATGAGCAGCAAAGAATGAAGGCGTCTATTTAGACGCGGGGACAAGAACTTGCTCGTTCATAAAGGCGTTTCCATAACGCGTCCACTCATTTGAATATAAGAAGTTAGCTGTGAATGAACATTTCTCGTGGTAACCACCTTTAAGGCTCGGAACGAATTAATAATATTCGACGCTTATTTTCTCTACCGCGCAATTGTGAAATATCTTTCTTTTAGATTCTTTTAATTAACCTTCGATAATTTCTGAAATACCTGACTGAAAATCACCACTCTTGGTTTCGAAGTTGTACGGTACTGTCGCATCGATAAACGCGAATAAAATTTTACGTTACGTTTGCTATATTTTTTTTTTATCAGGATCAAAGATTTAGTCAGTGATATTTGAATTTTATTGTTATGGCAATAATATCTAGGCTGTTAGAAAAAAGAAAGTTTAGGGACACGAAGTGCATTAAAACGTGTGTTTTCTTTGTTTTACTTGGTTTCCCTGGCGAACCAGCTTCGTGATCCGCTCTTTCAATCGCAATTACTCCGAATTCCCATTATCACCGCGGTACCTTATTTAACTTTGTTTGAAGGATGCTTTTTTTATAGTCGCATTTAATCACTGCACAGTGGCAACGGTAATAGGTTTAGTTTTCGTGAGCATAGAATGCCGGGCATATTGCATCATAAAAAAAGTTGTAAAAGCTCCCTCCCTCGTGTCTACTCGTATTTTTTCCTTCCTTTTTTTCTCGTTTCGATTCTAGCAACGTCTCTGCTTCCATTATTTTTTATTCCTTCTAACGTTAATAGCGTTTTATTCGCTTTCGAGCAAACAAAAAGTGGAGCAAGCCGATAAAAAGGAAGAACGAAAAATGTACCCTCGGTGTGCATAAAAATTTAGGACACTTTTCGTTCAAAGAGAGTAGTGTGAATTTTTTAAATCGTTATTGTATGGTTGTTGTAAATATGAGAGTACACTGAAAGTCACTTACCAACGTCCCAAAATACGGAAATGTACATCGTATTTGATTTCCCCAAGAACCTACCTTTTACTCATTTCCTGACCTGACTTTCTCCCACGAGACGCTGTAAATTAATTTGCTTGATTAAACGGACACCTTAAAGTCTCACGGCTAACCGAAGTTCGCGGTTAGTCGACTTTGTAATTAATTTAATCTCGAGCATAGAAACTAATCTGATCATCGTACATTCAGTTAACCAGCGGTACTTGTTTCGTTCTGTTTCTTCGTTTCTTACGAAAGTGTTTGATAAAGTGTTCCGCAATTTCTCCAATATGAATCTAATACAGAATCGAGTAATATCTGCTCGAACGAATTCGTATGCGCTGTTCTTGGCGTATTCGTATAACTAAACCGAAGACTAACGTTCCCTTCCTACTTTCTTCGTGAAAATCCACGAGATTCCTTCGATAATACTTGCAGCCGGTTATATAACATTCTCCTCGCAGCCAACGTATCTTCTATCATTCACGTCATCCACAGCGTCATTATCAAACCAACACTCAACTCCTTCAAACTCCTCGACTCCTCGACAAAGCAAGAACACGAATTAAAAAATGATTCAAATTCATGGAATAATGAGAAAAAATTGGATGTTCCTTCTGTCCACTGTGCAGCAAGCGCAAGAAGGCTGGTGTTACGGAGATGTTGAAGGAAGGTGCGGAGCTAATCGCGACGAACGCAGTGAAAAGCGGCGCCACGGATGGTGGAGATCCTGACAACGAGCCTGGTCTTCCCCACAGTTGGGTCTGGCGCATCCTCAGAGCAGCTCTGCCATTCCAGTTGGCCCTGGTCGCCCTCTTCTGCGCCGCCTGTCTCCTCGAGCCGCATTGCTGCGAGGCGACGAACACGTTGAACTTCTCGCTGACCCCTCAGCTACGCTACGTTAGGGGTCCTCCACCTGTGTGAGCTTCACGACGCCAATCGTTTGTTGGAAAAGCCTGACGCGGCGTCGTACTCCATGGAATCTCCACGGAAGACATCGTTCGTATGAGAGAGATCAGTCGAACCCTCAGTCACCGAGCATAATCTGCTCCATTCTGTTGGTCGTGCGATGCACGATAAAATTAGTAGGTGAATAGATTGATAAATAATACTATGCATGGCTGGAGAGTTTAGCCAGCAGAATGATAGAGAAGCAAGAGCTATTCTGTTTGTTTCTTCGCAGAAGTTCTCTCCATCTGTAGAAATAAACGGTCGACTCGCGGATGCCAACGTCTCGCTCCAATAATGATACGCGCGATTTATTTCGAAAATTGTATCATTAAAGGCGGTTTTGTTCTAACGTGGACAAAATTAGACTCGCGACGTTTCATCGCCAGACAACTTTCCAGCCAAGAATAGTACGAAGAGCGCACGATTTTCGGCAAATTCGTAGTATCGATTATCAATACGTCGTCAATTAAGTTGGGAACAATATAAAAAGTGAGAGTTATCATTGTTTTGTCCAGATTTTTGACGTTCAGTCGTCGTTTCTGAAATACCGAAGTTTTATATTTATCTCTAAACTTTTTATATTTCAACTATATTTATACTAAAAGTACTCTACACAAATGTGAAAAAATACAATATCGCTTAGCGTTAATATTTTTCCACTGAGACTTAAATACGTAAACTGTAATTTGTTTTTTTTTTTTCTTGACACGTTCGATTCTCGATCTCACTACGAGAATTCTTCCAACTTTGTTTACTTTACGCTTGCACTGCCATAAAGAATTCCGAGTGTTCAGTAATCGAGTCAATTTAAAGCACAAAGCTCGATCTTACGACGAGACTGCAACTTCGTCCACAAGACAAAAATACTTTTCATTTGAATGTGATGGTTCCCTGTTTTATTTCACGTACGATAGAGAGAAGATCTGCGCTCGTTTGAGATTGTGATACGATAGAAAATTAAAAAAAAAAAAAAAAGATAGAAGAAGGTGAAGAACGGTATAGATTAATAATGTAAAAGTGACTGAGGCGCGACGTAGAGACTATGAGCACTAGGTCAAAACAGGAAAAAGAAAAAAAAAAAGAAGGACGAATGAGGAAGAACTTTTTTATACGTTTTTACAAAATCAGATATTTAACTGTGCGAATCGAGTATGAAACGAGAGGTAAGTATAACTTCGTATACCTGCTCTAGCCACGTGCGAAATCGAGAATGAATGAGAGGGTCGAGATCTACGTAGACAATCTTCGAGCCTTCGAATATAACGACGAATCGAAACCTCGTAGCATAATTCTGCAAATTCTTGAAGAACGAAAGATTCAACGAAATATAGGAACGACGTAGAGGTACAGATGAATAACAAAATAATTAAAAAAAAAAAAGAAAGAAATAACAAAGAAAAAAGATAAGGTTGACAGATATTTATAAAGAGAATAACTTTATCTTCATTTCAGAGAATTTGCAAGGACAAGTAACGATAACGATGAACGAATGAATGAAATCTTTTCTCGCATAATATCGAGTTCGAGGTTTTCGAAACTGATCGATGAATCAGTGGCGCGCTTTTTGTTATATAGTATAAATATTTATTTATATATATATATGTTGCAAATTATATATATACATATACGTATTATTGTTTGTAATTTAATGTGAATCGGGAGAGGAGATATTTTATAGCGTTCTCCGAATGATTGGGAGACAAAGGGAACGATGTTCTATGCGCGAACGCTGATGTTCGACGAGTATGATGCATGCGATGTTAAACGACGGTAGTATCGTTTGATTGTTTTCAACGATTTTGTTTTTGTTTCTGTTTTTTATGTGGACGATGGTTGTTTACAGCAGTTGGTAGCATTGGCCGATGGTCGACTGCTACCGTAGAGTAGAGAATGCGGGTGAACTTCTTTTGCTGAAATTCTGAATCAGTCGATCGAAATAAATTGACGTTTACAAGACGCATAAAGAAAAAAAATAGAAAAAGAACGAAGATTTCCATATCTTCCTCTTTAAAAAATCTATGTCGGTAAGTAAACGACCAACGAACGAAAGGATTCTGGAAATCAGAATTTCAGCAGACGAACTTCTCTCGCGTAGAAATTTTCAGACTCTCTTTTCGACCGCTCCGATAAAGAAAAAGGAAAAAAGATAATGAAAAGAAAGAAAGGGACCAAAGTCGTCTTTGAGTCTTGCGGAGGAAAACGGCGACGCCGAAAAGAGATCTGAATTGCAGACACAGGTTTCTGGAATTTTAATGAAACTAACATCTGACTGACGCACACACTCTCACGTGACCCGTCTCCGTGATAATTTCATTAAAATACCAGCGATATCGTGTTTGAAAACCGCATACGTAGTCACGAGATCGTGCTACGTGAAGTAAAGTCATCTTGCTTCTTCGGAGAACATCTAATATCGAAGAATCGCGAGACGCACTATTTTCTGAAGTTCCATCGAACTTCGCGGTTCTGTCCGCATTTTTTGTCATCACTTAACCAATCGATATACTTCGTACGAAGGATCTTGCGAATATCGAGGAACAATAATTCTCGTGGTGAACGAGTTTGGTAAACATTTATCCAATGACAAGGATGAAAGAAAATACGTAACAAATAAATAAATAAATAAATAAATAAAAGGGTAAATGTTGATCGAAAACACACCCTCAAGTGATACGATTCGCTGATATTGCGATCATGTGGTTGAATCGACAGCCGTGTTTGCTGCTCGTGTTGCTTGACGACTGAGAAAAGGTAAAGAAAAGAAAAAAAATCATAAAAGACGATGATAAAATAGATGATAAAAATGTTTGAAAAAATATATATATATATTAGACGATGAAACTGTTCGTCGTTTGATCGTAAGAGGACAACGATTACGAAGACGATGATGATAGAAACGTGTGAAGGTATATTATGGTATAATGAAAGTAAATGGTCTTTGAGTTGGGGAGTGATTTCAGCGAGAATTCAAAGGTGAATATGAGAAAAGGAACTTTAGGAATCTGTCTGTTGTTTATTGGGAACTTTATTCGTTCTTGCCATACGAACAACGGAACTAATTGAAATCTGACAGTTCTGTCGATTTACATTGACATTTATTTGTCGAACTAACGAAATGTTAACATGGTACATTAGGGTGCATTACGAATGCGTGGGTTTTTATACACATATCCTCATCGCTTGTAGTTGTCGCATGAAGGGTCACTTTACTTGTATCGAGTAGATCGTTTCGATAACTTGCAACGGTACTAATGTTAGGGTGTTTAGTAACGTTTCTTGTATACGGTGTTTCATTTTAACTGAATCATGTGTTAGCGATATAAAATATGTCGGATGAAAATTAGGAGATTCTATAAAAGAAGTTGCATTACAAGCAGAAATAAGTTTTATCTTCCAAAATATACTCCTATAGATTACAAAATATTGAAACACGTCCAATTATCGGAAATTAAAAATAAAAATATTTTTGTTGAAGGATTCAACTATATTTGTTAATCCTTAAAAGTACAAATACTTAGACGCAATAAGACTCAATTGGAAGACATGTATACGAATACAATAAATATCGGGCAATACTTGCTTGGAAATTTTCCACGTTTCGATTTTCGTTCAAAAACTTATTCGACGTTGAAATGCGCATGGCTCGCTTGAAATGAAACACCCTGTACGCGAGCTTCTATAAAACCTTTACCAAAGGTTTTCATATTATAATCATTGATACATGCTGAATATTAAACGCTGTGATTATCCACATGGTTTTCCAAGCGAACTGATCTTCGATAGGGAGTAATAAGATTACAGTTCCGTCACGCAACCTTTAATTCGATCAATTTATTTCAGCACGATCGCTCGAAAACTTGCGTGACACGGAGTAATAGATAGCGAAAATAAAAGCATCTAAAACAAAAAAAAAAGTTTCGAATTTTATTTTTGTACATCGTAGGGATAATTATTATTTGATAATATGGATGGAAAATATTTCGTCACAGTTTTCTACGCGGTAAAATATAGAGGACAGTTTTGTAGGACACAAATTTACAGTAACGAACGTTCACGACGTTTCGTTCAATCGACTGAATCTTTTCGAGCTCAAACATTTTTTGCATTTTATCTTTCGTGCTACATTTTTCATTTGCACAAGCACAGTTCTACATTTCGTACGATACTTTGGCCAATTTACGCGAAACGCGATCTTACATATTTTAGATTGATCAAAATTGGTAGATGAAACAAAATGAAAATAAAGGAGTAGAATTAATGTAAATAGCGCGCCTGTAAAAAGAATCGATCGCACTTTAAGATCAAACGATATTTTTTGTATTAAAAAATTTTTAAAAAAGAAAACATACACGTATAACTATTGATTTTTCGTAGAGGCGAACGAAAATTAAAGTGGTATATTTTGTGAAATATTTTGTGAGGGGAAAGGGGTCCGTAGGCGATAGGATGTTTCAATTTCAGCTTCGTTAGAGCGTAATGCGATTAATATCGTGCTTCGACGTGAATCGTTAGGATCGCCCAATTTTCCAACGAGTGGGGCAACAAAAAATCAAATATAATCAACTATAATCAAACATAATCAATATACGTAAAGAATATGTATAAATTTGTATACGTCAAAGTAAAACGCGTTACTCGTTGGAAATTAGAGCGATCGTATTAGAGCTTCTTTTACAGAACAGATCGAACTTATCGTTAAGAGGATGATTAGATCGATTTGATAGGTTTGAACAGTTTGTGCACGATGCTTACCGTGTAAGCGTGCATGCGTGTAAAAGAGATTGAACGAATGTGTTCGCATCCAACGGTAGATGGATGATACACTTCTGTCGAGACGCTAACTTTTCGTGCAGGACCAGTCGTTATCGCGAAAGAAACGTGCGAAACGAAAGATAACAAGGGTCCCCGAGAAAGAAGAAGTTTGCAAAATGTCTCGCAGACTTATATTTTTTCACTGCACATAGCAGACTAAGATTATGACGTCTTTGAGCGTTATCCAGCGTGATTGAGTTTGAGCACTGTTTGTGCGTTGTGTTTGTGTCAGAGAGTGTGACACAGGAGAATAGAGTTTGGAATCAGGCGGATCAAGCATTGATCGAAGTAAAACTGTATATTCATAAGCATGCTACGTTATAATAAGATAAAGGAACGTGAGAGATAACTTAGTAAGATACAGAACAGAAAAGAGGAAAAAAGAAAATAAATGAGCGAGAAGAGAAAAAAGGGGAAAAGGTAACAGTAACCGATGGATCGATGTATAATTCTTCCAATGTTTCAAAGAATATACCATTGACGATCCAAAGTTTGAAATGCTGTACTTACGTGTTCACGACGGCGACGACAAATGGTGACATCATACGTGTACACACACACACACACACACATATACACACGCATGCAATTATTATCCATACACAGGGCACAGAGCTTAAAAAGAGCCTCTTGTATTCTCTGAATACTTGATTTTTTATTAAACAGATTGTCCTATGGGATCGAGTAGAACTTTTCATTGAGATCTGCAAGATGACGACACCCTCAGGGGTCGTTCGATGTCGAAGAGAAAAGCTTAACGCGAGGGCAGAGCGATTTTCACCCAACGAGATGTAATTCGTCATAATTTTTGAGAATTAATTGCTTTAGAAAATTGTAAGCATCATTGCTCCTGCTATACTTTGACTCTATCCTTCGTTAAACATTCCCTTCGTTAAAAATATACGCAAAAAGTTACGATAGAGGAAAATTTATCGTTCGAGTTGGTAATATAATATAAAGTATTGCTTAAAAGAATTTCGTCAACTTTCAAATTTATTTACAAGTTTCTGTTTCATGATTCAGCCATCCGAGGATGAAAATTGCTCTGTTAACGCAATAATAATGCTAGAGCGTTATCCTGCACCCTAGGGAAACTGTCTTAGACTGTACTACTTAAAGAAACAACGATTCTTCTGATCGAACAATTTAATTCGATCCTTTAAACAGTACATTAGGAGACAAGTTCCACGGTTACAAGTCCTTGGTCATCGAATTCGTGTTTTACGTTCAACATCGACGTCGTCTGAAAGCACGTCGATGGCGGAAACTTTTGAACGGAAAACCTGAAGTCGACGAACACGAGGTCTGCCTCACCTGCCTACTCTACCTATCACAACGTGTATAAAGTACCTGAGAAATCAAAATATTACTTATATATAAATATATAGGATTAACGAGAAGCATCTTGTTTTTCCTCCGTTTCATTCGTATCATCACCGCATCAGGCGAGCGTCTGCTCGCAAAGTGAAAAAATAAAAGGAAAAGAATTGATGGAAAAAACGAATCGTGTCGTGCTTTGTACAGCTTTGATTTGTCGCGAAAATGTATTCACCTTTGCGTTGCTGTAGCGGCTACTTAGATTATACATTGCATGCGGTTTTACTTTTAAACGAAAATTATGATATAGGGCAACGCTCGAACGTGTTGCTGTATATTGGGGAAAAATCTAAAAAAAAAAAAAAAAAAAAAGAAGCAGGAAAGAAAGGAATTAATTACGCCTTTAATTGCAGAATCGAAAGTGATTCGTTTGCAAATTGTATTACGATAATCGATATTTTTAACGGCGGCCTGCGGTTTCTATTTCTATCAAGGTCAATGTTATTACTGTGATCGAAATTTTTTATGCGAAATTTGACAAATTTTACTTTGTACTTTTTCTGAATACTTCTAGACGCGATGCAAAATTTTGTAAAAAGGAAACCGCGGACTATTTTGCGACTATCGAATGTGTACTTTCGAGAGTACGATGCCTGTTTGTATTGCATCTTCAGAATACAAGCGACATTAACCCTCCACGAACCTTGATCTCTTTTATTCCTTTATAGTATTATGGATCGGTATAATTTTTATCTTCTATCGATTGTTGGGTATACTTTTCTCTACTTTTTCTTCCTGAATGTCGCGTTTAATAAGAACGACTTGGTTCATGGAGGATTGAATTTGATCGTATCAGTAAGATTTCATTTGAATTCCTCGAAAACGCGATCGAATTCAAGTATCGCGTACTTCTTACAACGCTCTGTAGTTTGGCGCCGTAATGTCAGGCATGAACCTACTGCATGGCCTTTGATCAACCTTTTGATTTATTTCTTGAATGTTCTTTTTGTCGAAAAATTCCTTTATTCGTTCTGTAGATTAATTTCTGTCAATTTTGCCGATTACAGCGCCGAATAGATCGATCTTTTAATTATAAGGAAACACGTTCGTTGTCAGTATTTCTTTTATTTTATTTTATTTTTTAATCGAACAGTATTTTTATCGATTTTTGAAATGCGTCGAACAAATTTGTCTCTATCGAAATTGTATCTTGATCGAACATACTCTGAATACGATTTACGTATGAAATTTTATCGAACGAACGTGTTTTTTTTTTTAGTGTTCTTACGGTTTCTTACTTCTTTCGCTACATATACGTATCGTTAATTTTATTTGCTCAGACTTGTGCGACTTTGCCATTCATATCATATATCCCATCTCAAGTGTACACCCCATTCGTATGAAAATTTCATGCCATTTCAATCATCATTCACATGTCATTGCGTTTAACGTGTTATATACTTATACCCGAACAATATCAATAATATTTTCTACGATTACGGAGTATTCTAGTGTATTTTGGCACCATGGAGAAATAAATTACAGTTTTGGACAACATTTTACGTCTCTTCATTCCGTCGTATCTCCAACCTCTCCACCTTCCACTGCCGACACAGAGAAAAGAGAAAAGGAGATCTTGTTAAAGAGATGAATCACGAGAAACAGGGCATTTAGTATCTTCGTCGTTTGTCATTGCATCAAATACTTCGCAAGAATGAAGTTACGCTACTCGAAGGATCGTACAAAACGACGTGAACGAATTTGTTACCCAGATACCTACATACTTGCCACATACCTACTCGGTTGTCGACATTAGCATTAAATAATCTTAAGAGAAGAATGCTCGATCAAAAGTATAAGAAAATAAAGAGACACATCCGACAAAAAGATCGATATGATTTTTAAACTTTCCAAACCTTCCGAACTTTTCGTAAACCTAAATTCTTAACAAATTTGTAATTCCTCAATTGCTCTGATCCCTCGACAATATTTCCAAAACCACAACGAATCTTCAGAAATACGACGATTGGAAAGACGGAATCTTCAAAGACGCGAAAAATTGGATAAGCGCCGGCTGAAAAAGGGAATAGCACGATAGAACATTTGCGAGCAGCGCGTACACGTGTACAGTGCCAAAAGTAACGGTGGAGAAAGCGCAATGCTAAGTGTATTCGCAATAATGATCCGCTGGCGATTGATACAGAGGTAGAGGATGATTGCGGTGTACCCGGGGCCGATTGTTGGCGGCGTTAGTGAAGTCAGTACGAAGGTAGGGATATTAGAGGTTAAAGGGCGCGGCCGCTATGTTATTACGACTCACACCTGTACCCACCAGGTAGGCAACCACGGCCGAAACTTTTCTCCGGGAATCTACTTTAATGGTTCCAGGATATCGTAAGTTGGAGCTGTAAATAAATTATTGCTGCGACCGCGGCGGTCTTTAATCGGACGTGCATAGATATGCCCTTTAATCATGCGACGAGTAACGCGTTGCAATTTTCGGAACGGGATTACGCCATTAAGCCGTTCGTACCATTCTAATACGATTTCTCGCGAAATATCCAACAACTACGATAGAACGATCTTCCGAAGAACTGTCGATTATAATTTCGTTTTCTTTATTCGTTTCTTTTACTCCATTTGAGGCTAGTTCTGTGAAACGTGATTCGTTCAAATATCGCAGAGTCGTTGTAATTTGCGGAGAACAACGACACGATCGTAATTGAATAATTTTTCGGAAGACGAATAAGACAAATTCTATTTATTTGTTAATCGTTGCTAAAGAAAGTTCTAGAACGTACGAATTCGCCACAGATGCTTCCCGTATCACGTAAAAGACGTACACACCCCTTGCTCCAAGCGTTTACAACAGCACGTTGACGTTTCTAATTTGTAATTTACGAGATGACAGCGGGGATCGAGTTAAGAGAGAGAGTCGCGGGCTTAACAGGAGCAAATGAGCGAAGACAAGTATTATTTTTTACAGGGACGAGCCCCTTCGCGATGAAATGGCCTGTGTCGTGCTCGTCTATGACTCCTACGGGGTTCTTCTTCTCTCTATCGTCCGACCAACCCTTCTTCTTCCACCCATTCTTCCTGGCTTCTTTCCACCCTCGCCGGCCAAAGGGTTGAGACTGGTCGAGCTGTAAATTACCAAGAGGGCATTTTGATTAAATTTTTTATTGTGGCAACCCGGTTACAACCGGAGGGCCCTGATGCCGACGGTCGGCTGATTTAACCCTGTCCGCGCGACTCCGGTGCTTTTATTTTCCATTCGCGTACCTGAATCTCTGATTAGAAGTAATAATTCGACGCTGGCGAGCGTGGTTCGCGAAAATGAAAAGCAACGGGAGAAGAGCGTTGTGTCAGAGTGTGTTCGCGTTGTTTCAATTCGATATTTTCTCTTTGGTCCCTATTTTCTTTTATTTTTGTTATACCTTATTTTATATTTTGTTATAAGTTATCGTAGATTCTAAAGAAATGGTATTGGATGGAGAAGTTGGACAGGGTAGAAAATTTGGTAATTTTACATATTTGCGTGACAGAATACGATCGGGTATGGTTTTGGATAATTCTCGTACGCTCTCGACCGATTCTACTCACGATTCTGTTAAGGATCAAACGAATTGTCAAGACTGTCGAAGAAACGATATATTTCCGACACTTTGGGGTAGTAGGATAGAATTATGAGGACGTGCCTGGCCTCACATATTTTATATATTGTTCCCAATAATTCCGACTGCGTGCTGTAATATTTATCGTGCCCTGTTCGGTCTCCTATGTGTTATCAAAGCGTTAAAGTAGAACAAACATCGGAATATCTGTTATCCTATAAATAAAACTATAATCCTAATAAATATCAATTACTTTATACCATACTCCTCGTCACATCTTAATATGCATCTAAGAGAGTCAAATTTCTTTATTCGCCTCCAAGAAATCATTGCAAACGGACGAGCTACGAGCTTCCAGCAAAATTACGAATCTTTTCCCAGAAACGTTAATCTTTGAAAAAATTGAGAGAGAAGCAATCACGTTTGCTATTTGTCAAATTAGCTATTCAAACTTCCTGATTACGTATAGACGTTTCCGATTAATTTCGAGTTAAAAGATTCATTTTCTGTCCTCGTTGGGTCGTCGACCACGATCCTCTATTCGATCTTTGTCACGAGAAATTACAATTGAGAGGATGAAAATCGTTCGTGGAGAACTTGTCTCGTCCGCGATCAGGTCCAGCCGCTGATAACAGAAATTCCATCGCACATCCCTCGGTCGTTTACTAAATGTCCATCGAGGGATGGCCGCGGGGGTGAATCGGCTCAACAAGTGTTACGTCAGAACGAGCTTGCGTCTACGGTTCGGTCGATTCGCGGGGGTGTCGACGTGCTCTCTCGTTCCACGTCTCATAATCGGAGGCGGTACCTCGTAGGTTTTGTTGTTTCGACCCGTGCGATGCATTTGTTTTCGTTCGAGCACGACTTACATAAAATATTACCAGAAACTGAGTCGATCGACCGCGCTTTCACTAAAATTTTTAGTAGCTCGTTACAAAGAATAGAAAAAAGAGAAAAAGAAAAGAACGGAAGAAAATTCGTGTCAAGAAGTCGAGACAAGACACAGAACGAGCACTCCATATGGCCAAACAATATGGAAGATAATTTGATAATGAATACAATAATGGCGCAAAATGGTATCCGCTGATAGATCATTACCGTTGGAATGCAATAAAACACCGTACGCGCCGAGTGAAAGGGCGAATTTCCGTAAGAAGTTTCACCTCGTTTATGCGTGGAAGTTTTTGTCAACTTTATTTTATTTATTGCTCCTTATATAAAACAGACTTCGTATACTATTATACAGTATCGATAATCCGAACCATAAAAAACAATTATCTTTTACGTTTACTCGTTATGCCCTAATTAACGTGTAGTTAGAGTTTATGGTTCTCTACGAACTTTGAAAGAGCTATAGTTAAACTAGTTACTGCTTGCAAACTTTCCGAAGCGAGTAATAAAATTCGCAAAAACGAACGTTACTTAGGTACAATGATTTTTACAATCCTTTTTACAGGATTTTCATTCGTGACATCCAAACAAATTTGAAACAAATTTTTTCAAACAAATGACAAGAATCTCATAAGAATTTATACGTATACGTTTGATGATTCTGAATTCGTCGAAATACGTATCCGCTGCAACAATAGCCTGAATCCTGTCCCAAAAACGCAGGAAATCGTACGACAGGTACTCTCCGTGGGGAAGCTATTGAAGCAGAGTCTTCGTCGAGAGGATGATCCACGGTGGTGGTAGATTTGCGTTGGAATCGTCGATGGTACCGTCCGGGTGCAAGGTTCGTCGGTGGACGGCGGAGGA